CGTGTTAGGATCCTTGCTGTCTATGGAGGGTCAGAGAGCTCTCAGAATTAATAAAAAATATTTTAATTTGTGTTCAGAAGATGAACGGAGGTCTTACGGGTTTGGAACGACATGAGGGTGAGTAATTAATGACAGCATTTTCATTTTTGGGTGAACTATCCTATAGGAGCCATACTTACTATCTTATTTAATTTTTCTATATGTTCACTTATATATTAGTTTGCAGCTATATTGTTAATGTTGTTTATTTCTCTGAGTGTGTGCCCTCTATAGGTGTGAAGGGAAAAATGTTTAAAAGGATATGCCACCCCTGACAGGAGGGGGGGCGCTGGTGCAAGAGCATACAGTCTTTCGAATGTGCGCATGGAGCTAAGATGGCATGAAAATAACAACTTTATTCAACAATTTGTCTCCTCCGCATCACCCTATAGCGCTATTTTGGAGATTATCACATAAGTAAACAACGTATGCAATGTACACGAATATGTTATTTACATTCAGATCAAAGCTTAAAAGTAAACAATGTATCCGCGTGGCACAGCTGACAGAATGGCTCTATAAGGTGACGCGGAGGAGACAAATTTTTGAATAAAGTCATTATTTTTGTTTTCTTTGAGCACAAAAAGTATTCTCGTAGCTTCGTAAAATTACGGTTGAACCATGTCACATGGATTATTTTAACAATGTCCTTGCTACGTTTCTGAGCCTCTGGATCTATTCATGGTGCTTTGCACGCGTCGGAATATTGCATCAACACCTCCCACAGTGGCCAAGAAACAAGGGACAAAATTGGAAAGTTGAAGCTTGTTTTTACCACTACAAGTGCGTTACTGTTTTTGTTTCGTTTTGTGTTTTTTGTCACAGAACTGACTGTATGCAATGTATATTGTTACATTATTAAATCAATATTAATTTATGTGTGGTATCTTAAATGAAAAATAATCTATATTCTATGCTATGATATTTGTCATATAATATGATACAAAAATTGCTTTGATTAAATGTCACACCATGTTTCATAAGCCAAAAGGGTCCTAAATTGAAATCATCACTTGACAGTAAAGGACAAATATCAAACATATTAAAAAACATATTTCTTTTTTGTGTAAGTACACATGATTGATTATGAAGTCTCAAAACAGGGTTGAATGAAATGGTAACCTCATGATTTGTTTGAGATGTTATCTATTCTTCCTGGTTTAGCATATATTTTCCTGGTTGTGCTTCCTCACCATGGCGTTCAAACGTACAGTAAAGGGTGACAAAGCTTCGCTCCCCTCCGCGAGACGGAACGCGACGCTGTGATCGTCGGAGACTCCATCGTCCGTGCTATGCAGTGTTGCCAGACGTACGATAATGATCGTATTTGTACGATAATTTTGACCTCTGTACGATGTACGATCAATAATGAAAAAAATCCCATAATGTACGATAATTTCGAAATTTCAGAACGTGTTTTTTCCAAAGTCAACCTCATCAAAACAAAGCCACTGAATCGGCTAATTACAGACGCTCTAAATGGGTTGGTTCACACCTCAGGACCCTCAACATCTGGCAACACGCATGGATTCTGATGACAGAGACTCAGAGGTGGAGTTTGGACCTTCCCACAAGGTACGCCTATGGCCTTATGATTTCCGCGATGTGTAAAACACGGATGGAATTGCGGAATCCAGTCATTTACTGTACAATTTACTGTACAACGCAGAATGTCAGGGAATTTGTCAAAGTTTGGATGAATTAATCAAAGGAAGGTCATTACACTTAAATCGTGATATGGACTAGTATCTGTAAATATTAAGCCGCAAAAAGGCTATTTAAATATAAATC